ATGATTCTTTTTTTATTTGAGAGCTGGTAGCTGGTGGAGCTGGTTCTCATGTGGTCCCATACAAATTTGATCAAGATCTAACCAGCAGTTTTTGAGTTATCCTTAATAATGCATATTTCATTGACTCTGACTACATTGATGATGTTCTCATTTTATTTATATTGAAGTTGGTTGGACAAAATTTTTCAATTTACCACTTGTATGGTATATATACAATATAAATATCCCATATCATTATAGAAGTAGGACATATTACAATTATTCAGTAGATCTTGCACTGACAGCTTTCCATCTTTTCTATCTACTACAGAATTATTTGAATGACAAACAATTTGAATAGTTTTAAAATAAAACTGAACATATTCAATAGTGTATATTTTTATCATGTGGTAATTCACGCTTTGCTTTATTAATAGAGGAAGGTTTATAGAGAAAGTACTTTTTTTTTCAACAAATGCTATTAAAGGTAATGTTTACTTTTATATTTCATAGAATAAAGGTTAAAAATGAGCAAACAGTGTACCTGACGGTAAGTAGATGATGACCCATAGAAATCTACATTTATCCTTCTAAGAAACAAAATGCAGATGTCACCCTTTTTTCATTGTCACAATATGCGGTAAAGGGTTAACCCTTTACCACATACTGTGACAAATTTGGAACACAAGTTATTTGTCGTAATAAAACTGTCTGTAATGTCATCTATGTGCTGAATTTTGCCTTAATTCTCTTCCCAAGGATCTTTTTAAAAGAAGAATACATAATGCTGCAAATATTGTAAGTAACAATATTTGCAGCATTATGTAGTTAGTCCTTAAAAGTATGGGTCAAATACGGAACACTATGCAGTAAGCATTTTTTTAGTAATGCCAATTTTGGAACAACATGCAGTCTAGTACAAAACCAAATTTGGAACATCATGCAGTGCGTGTTAATAATATAATTTTATTTTTTATTTTAGGTAAACTCCGAAATCAAACTCGAATTAAACCCTAGATCATCCCTGATAGTAGCGACGATGAAAATGTATCCGATGACAATGAATATTTAGTCTCAAAACCATTACAACAGGTTTTAATATCAGAAAGTGATCAAGAATCTAGTAGTAATGTTGAATCTAATGATGAAAGTGAAGTAGAAGAAGATACGTTGAGCAATCAACCATCGATTTCAGCAGCAACTTCATCAAACAAAAAAAAGAAGACGGATAAGTTGGTTTGGACTGATGATGGCATTCAATATGATGAAACGCAGATTTCTTTCCTTGGATCTTCAACCCTTCCACAAGAAATAATGAAACTAGATTCTCCCATAGAATTTTTTAAATATCTTTTTCCGTCATCAGCCATAAACTTGATGGAAAAAGAAAGTAACATATATGCTACTCAAATTTCCCCTGAAAACCACAATGAAGTCACTCATGCAGACATCCGAAAATTTATTGGTGTACTGATTTATATGTCAGTTGTTCATCTGCCAAGTACAAGACATTACTTCAGTCATGACATGCAACAAGTTCGAAGAAATAAAACGGTATCTACATTTCTTTGACAAGAACGAAGAGAAAAAACCTGGAGATACTGATTTTGAAAAATTCTAAAAATACGGCCATTGTTAGATATAATTCGAGAAAGATTACAAAAAGTGCCTTAGGAAGAATATCTTGCAATTGACGAGCAAATGATCCCGACCAAAGCTCGCACATCAGGTATTAGACAATACAATGCAAAAAAACCACACAAATGGGGCTATTTAAATTATGTTTTAAGTGGAGCCAGCGGGTTTAGTTACGATTTCGAATTGTTTGGGGGTAAGCATCCAGGACCTCCACAAAACTGTCCCGATCTTGGAGTCCCCGGAAACATTGTGCAAAGATTGTTACAGACAGTTCCTGAGAACTTAAACTACAAAATTTTTATTGACAATTGGTATACAAGTTTGAAATTAATGGCCAATTTGCACAAAAAAGGGTTTCTCCCATTAGAAACTATACAATTGAATAGAGCCAAAAATATCGTTGTGCAAAAAACTGATCTTATGAAACATAAAAGAGGACATTGCACAGAAAAATCTACCGTCATCGATGATGTCCAGATATCAGTATTAAATTGGGTGGACAACAAGGTTGTGAGCTTATGTTCCACGTATGTAGGAAAGGAGCCAATGGGGTCCGTGTCTAGATTCATAAAGCAAAGGAAGGTGAAAGCAGATATCCCATGTCAAAAAGCAATATCAATTTATAACAAATATATGGGCGGTGTTGACCTATTGGACTTGATGTTGGGGTTCTATAGAATTAAAATAAGGAGTAAAAAATGGTACCACAGAATATTTTTCCACATGATTGACCTAGTATGCGTCAACAGTTGGCTCCTTTGGCGAAGGCGCATGGAGCAAATAGGGGATGTCATGTATATGCCCTTGTTGGATTTTAAATTGCTCATAGCGGACATATTGATGAGAGAAGGTGTATTGGTGTTTACACCAACAACAAGAAAAAGAGGTCGTCCACTAACCCAAGTGGAAAATATTAAGAAAAGATGAAGATTGGAACTACCACCAATAGAAGTAGGACAATGGAAAAATGATCGCCAAAGATGCAAATTTAAAGGATGCGTCCAAAAGTCACAAATAATGTGCAGTTAATGTATGTGTTACTTGTGTTTTAACAAAGATCACAACTGTTTCACATTATTTCATACATAAAAGATATAATTGAAAAAATAATTAATAAAAGTTACATATAAATTTTTTATTTTATGTTTACTTCATGATGTTCCTAAAATGGAACATTCAATATTGCATGCCTGAATGCATGATGTTCCAAATTTGGAACAAAGACTTTTCCCCCTTAATTTTTCAATAATGCAATTTGGTTTTTTTGTCTCTATTTTTTTAGGCCTTCATTTAGGCCACTTATCAACATATATTTTTTCCGAGTGATTTAAAAAATCCATGCAGTAAACGGTTAAAGACTATTATGAAATGCTTTGTTTCCAGTAAAAAGGATCTCTGGTTCTCTACACTCACCATACACAACACAGCAGCCCTAATACTTACCCTGTACCATGTACTACATAAAGGTCATTGCTATTGTCTTACTATTGTGTCTAAAAATTGGACTGTGAAAGTGTTAAGCTTAATTTTAGGCTGGTATTTTTTGAGAGTACCCTTGTTGAGGCAACCCATTTGGCCAATTAATACAGCTGCAGCGGGGCTCTACCACATATAAGAACTAACATTTTTAGTTTTTATTTAATACTTTTAGTAACATTTGCTTATTAGTAACCATCAAATTATTATTTGAAAGCATTTACTCACTCAAACATAGTTTTCTGATGTGCCAATTGCATGTGTGCCACAATTCTATCAATCTTTTCTCTTGTTACATGGCTAAATGTAGATCTCTCTACTGTCTTCCCATTCCAGAAATAAGTATCAGTTGCTTTTCCTAATTGGCCATGAACCTTATATGCTCTGGTTGGTCTAGCGACATTGATGTGGTATGTTAGCCTTGTGCCATCATTGATGCCTAGTACTAGAAAATTATTAAATTTTGTTGTGTCAATTTTAAAACTATACTATGAAACACCAACACAAGAAGTTAAAAAATTACTTTGATGCATAGTAATAATATTTTAGAGCTGCAAATTAAATGTTTAAATAGTTGTTGGTTACACAAGTTTTTAGTTTTGCATTGAATTTAATGTTCTTACACAAAACTCCACTAGTAAATAATCCCAGATGTGTAGCCCAACTGCACCTAAAGTCATCTTGAATATATCTTGGTCCACAGATCAGTGGATCATCAGCATAATTTGGAACCAACTTAACAGTCATTGGGGCATTGGTCGCCCCCACTATTTCAATTCTTTTTTCTTGAGGTCTGTCGGGTAAAGCATTCAAATCTGGAAAAAATTAAAGCAGTAATTTTTTTATTGTGAAAGTACTATTATAAAAATTACGAATGGATTTTTTTAAACATTAACATATAACCTCTGCAAAGATTGGTAATAATCATTTGTTGAACTCGTCGAACAGGTACACATGGAGGTTTGTATATACAAACAATTCCATTTAGAGTTTTGTAAGCTAGAGCTGCATCACGAGGTTTCACCACCATGTTTTTAAAACTAACCCCTCAGAGTACTTTGAATAATCCGAAAACGGGGATAAGGGGTTACCTTATTTGTTTGTAAGCCAACATTTTTAAATAAAAATAATAGAAGATATCGTAGACAGAGAAGTATACTTTGTTTTTTTTTTCCGATAGACCTATTACTTTTTTTAATGTTGTTTTGGCTTGGATACTTGTCATTTACGCTTCGCGGATGAATACTATTATACTACTAGGATTCGCGGGTGGGTAATAAATGAGTGCATACATGTTAGTCTTACTTTAATTACTAATAAATTAATAAACTATTTACTATCATTTAATTAAGGGACATTATCACGTAAATTACTTTAAAGTAAATATACAAGTTGGTAAAGCAATAGATTTTTTTCCATTGCACCACACTGCTGGAGCATTTTTTTTCTATAATCACTTTGTGAATTTTGCTGACATTGCCGAAACTCAGAGGTCCCTGAAAGTTTTAATCACTCGTAAGATGGAAGAGTTTGAGAAGCAACTCGGTTCCAGTTCTTCCAAAGCTGTTGCCGTTGAGAAGGTTGGTCAGGCTTTTACTTTGTTTCGGGACCTTGTTCAAGACATGTTCAACCTGTTTCGCCAACAAAAAAGAGATTAGTCGGTCAGTTGACACCATTGAGACAAGACACCGCAGAAAATATCCTTTGTTAAGAGGTGTTACAGAAATATCTGATGAAAATGTGCCTAATGTTATTGTAAACATTCTACAGAAACACCTGAGTATGACTAATCTCTCTTTTTCGCTGATTTCTCGATGCGTTCTACTGCCTGGTACAAGAAGACTACGCTGCAGGGATCACCGTTTACGTTATCCGAGTTGCTCACAAAATATCGGTAGAATTTATTCATGCAAGCTCGAAAACAATTTGGGATAAAAAAGGTCTGGTCTTCAAATGGCTTTATCGGCGTCAGGTTGCCTGATGGTTCCCGCCAGTGTATTCAATGCAATGAGGACCTCAACCAGCTGGTACGTGAATATAGCAAAGCAAGATGTGACGAGAAACCTCAACCGGCGGTGGAAGAAACCAAGGTTTCAAGGGAGCCTGGAAACACGCGCAGCGAAGTACCACGAACTAGGCGTACGGTAAAGAAACACTATAACTTTTTAATAACAAATACTTGTTTCGATAATTTGTTTGATCATTAAACATAGACGGTCATATGGTTGCTGGTTGTTCAACTTAAATAGCGCAGCTCTCTGTTTTTCTGTACTGTGAATGCAGTTTGCAAATTGTTCTCATTCACTAGCCGCTTAGAGTTGGTAAACAAATTTTAGTTTAAGTAATTATCAACCATAAGTGTGTATATCTAAGGTTACGTTAAACATTATGGAATATTTTTATTAGTGATATTACATTATTTTACATTTTTGTTTAATAACACGGGTGTATAAGAATAACTTTTGTTGCATTTTATATTTTTTTTCTGATATATTTATGACCAAAGTGATTTAATACCTATCTCATTTTTTATTCTTTTCTGTTTTTTTATCAAGTTCATGTAACACTAGAATAACAATAACACATTATAACTTTCACTTGTTTTATAATTTATAAATCCGTTAAAAATAGTTTAATTTCGACGTGTAACATTCGCCTAAATATTAGAATATCACGTTTCAATCAACCACTTAATGCTATTACTTATTGTGTAATCTACGTTGGTACTATAATTAAAAAAAAATGTAAATGCCCATACTAAAACTAGCAAATATAGAGATAGTATAATGGAATCCAACAGCCTTCTACGGTTTTTCATAATATGAAGATTGTCTTCTGTAAAGTGTCTTGAGCACTTGTCTTGGCACACTATTTTTGGTGGGAAACCATTGGTCCCCTCTAAAAGTAGCGTCGATCCACATTTTTTCCTTTCGAGGCATTTTGGAAACGTATAACATATAGGTACCACAATGATTCACCACTATTTTTTATAAAATAATGACTTTAAAAAAATGTAAACGATGACCAAATAAATATCTATTTATAAATCACAACACTATCGATACACGTGCTGTCGTTAGACAAAGACAACTACTGTAATTTATGTAATGAGTGAAAGGGACATTTCAAAAAGACATCAACGGGTGCTTAATTAATATCACTTTTCACCATTATATTACCAGTATAAGTTGAACTCCGGTGCATTTGAAATAGGTTAACGTGATAAGATTAGAATTTACTTACCGATGAAATGTTATGCCATCTTTTAGATAACTGGATGTCTTAGATGACTTGTCACACTATTTTACTGCACAGGAAGCCATTTGTAATGTATTGTGGATACAAGACTATTTTTAAATTGTCAAGAACTCGGACGTGCCTACGGGTCACAAACTTGGTTGACACTGATATCGTGATTCTTAGCGTTACTTCGTATGCTAGCTACAGCAAGCAAGTGTTGCGTGCGTTTGTGGCCCTGCATGCGGAATCTATTAAGGGGTAATCTGTGTTTTAGCGCCATGGCAGTTTCCGATAACGATTCCTTCACCTCTGATAATTCTGATTTCTTTTATTCGTTTTCTGACTCTGAATTAGAACTACCTACACTTCGTTCTCTCTTAACTTAAAAATTTGATAATTATAGTAAATATTTCAACGTTTGTCACATTAATGCCCAGAGCATTCCGCAGAATTACAATGAGCTTTCAGAAACTTTTAATAATCAAAGCATCCACGCGATACTTATCTCGGAAACTTGGTCAAACCCAACTTTTCCTTCTATTTTTTACGGATTACCAGGCTTTATTTTACTTCGTAACGATCGCATTGGTAAAAGAGGAGGTGGTGTAGCAGTGTACCTGCGAAGTGGTATTCCTTACTAAATTTTATCAGCCTCCCCTTCGCAATGTACTGAATGATTTGAATATATTGTTTTAGAGATTGTTATTAGTGGAAATAAAGTAGTGCTTTGTGCAATCTATTGTCTACCTAATTCTAGTTATTTATGTGAATTTGAAGAGGCACTTCTTTCAGTTTGCTCTGATTATCAACATCATATTTTAATGGGTGACTTTAATACAAATCTTCTAAGTGATACTTCCCAGATCGCGTAGACTGCGTTCAATTATTGAATCGGCAAGTTTTTCAATACTTATATACAATCTTACTACTGATGATAATTTGTTAGATTTGATATTTATTAGTCTCCTCAGAAGAATGTGTTGCCTGCCATGGACAGTTCCCTGCTTCTCGTTTCTCGAGACATGATTTACTGTTCATTTCCTATAAAATCAAACCTCCCAAAGTAAAACTAGTAATAGTGCTCATAATACAACATAATGCTTCGCTTTTAGACTGGAGCAATATATTTAACGCACAGAGTATTGATGACAAGATTACGACATTTAACTCGAATATTCATAAGCTGTTTGACAAACACGCACCTATTCGTGAGGTTAGGTTAAAACGCGCGCCTGCGCCATAGATTACTAAAAATATCCGTAAAGCCATGTCTAAGCGCGATTAGATGTTTAGGAAATTCGAGCAGAATCGTGGTGAACTCAATTGGATAAAATTCAAAGCTGCGAGAAATCGATGTAATCAGATGGAACGAGCCGCTAAAGTCCACTATATTCACCATAATATCAGAACGCTTCTATGGCTGATACATGGAAATTTCTCTGGACGATCAGGGTCGGTAAACCTACATGTAACGTGGACCTTGCCATCATTTCAATAAGTGATCTAAACTTACATTTTTTCTCAACTACCCATATGCAGGCTTCTGTTAAATCAAGTACTATTTCATATTTGTATTCCATGCCACAATCTCATAACTGCACATTTAATTTTTCTCCCGTTGCTGATGAAGATATAAAAAAGACCATTTATTGTATTAAGTCTATGGCAGTTGGCTTTGATGATATGGATATACTCATGATCACTTTAATTCTAGACAATGTTACTCCATTTATTACTCATATCATTAATCATCCACTATTGACTGGGGATTTTCTTACACTTTGGAAAAAAGCATTTGTTATTCTGCTGCCCAAAATAAATAACCCCAGTTCTTCCTCTTACTTTTGACTAATATCTATAGTTAGAACTTAACTGCGATATTAACTGTATTTATTATTGGTCAGACAGATTTGGTAATAGGGTTAATCCATCAAAATGTCAGGCTATTGTGGTTGGTAGTTCTCGTAGATTGCCTAAAATTGATATGAAGGCGCTACCTCCTATAATTTTTAATAATATTACTATTCCTGAAAAAGTGAAATTGGGTGACATAAAAGTTAATTGTCTGCTGTATGCTGATGATGCAGTGCTTATTGCACCATCAGAAGCAGAACTGCGGGCATTAGTCACGTGTATGAAAGAGGAATGTGAAATTAAAGGTCTCCGTTTGAATGCTAATAAAACTAAGGTTCTGGTATTTGAAAAGGACGAAGAGAGAACGAAATGTGAAATATGGGTAAATCAGGAATGTCTAGAACAGGTAAATGAAATTGTATACTTGGGGAGTGCTTTCAGCCGGGATGGAAGATGTGATTTAGATGTGGATAGGCGTGTCGCTGCCGAAAACAAAGTCAATGGTGCCCTGAATGCATTAGTAAAAAGGCAAGGCGTGGTGAAGAGTGCACGTCTTGCAATACATAACGCAGTGTTGGTACCGACTTTGTTATATGGCAGCGAAACCTGGGTATGCCAGAAGAAGCATAAAAGCAAGTTGAATGCAGTGGAGATGCGATCTCTTCGTAAAATGTGTGGCGTTACCATAGCCGACCGAAAGCGAAACGAAGAGATTCGCAATATGGCAGAATTGAAAGATGACCTTATCACAAAAATTGATAGGGGCGTACTCCAATGGTTTGGGCACGTTGAACGAATGAGTGAAGACCGAATGGTGAAGAAAATATATAGAGTGAAAGTAAATATCAAAAGGTGTCGAGGTAGACCGAGACTAACTTTCGAAGACCATGTGAGCAAATTGCTCGAAGAGGGGAGGGTCAAGAGTACTCGGATACCTAGACGTGCATGTAGGAAGAAGTTAATGAACCTGAAAGAAGCGAAAGAGGTATGTAAGGATCGTGACACTTGGCGATCTGTTCTCTCTGGCTACCCCGTTAGGGATTGTGCGTGAATATAAGTAAAGTAAAGTAAAAGTAAATTACTATTCCTTACTCAACAACTGTTAAAGATCTTGGCTTAGTTATTGACAACACCCTCAGTTGGCAACCGCATATATATGAAGTGAGCAAAAAGGTCACTCACACTCTGCGTTATCTGTACCGTCTCAAGAATTTTTACCGATAAGACACGAATTTTTTACCGACAAGAAATACAGACTCTAGTGTTGCCTATTTTAGACTAAGCAGATATTTTTTTTTTTATAGAAGAAGGGGCAAACGAGCATGTGGCTCACCTGATGTTAAGTGACTACCGCCGCCCATGATCAACCGCAACACCAGGAGAATTGCGGGTGCGTTGCCGGCCCTTTAGAAAGGAGTAAGCTCTTTTCTTGAAGGTCCCCAGGTGGTATCGGTCCGGAAAATCGCTGGTGGTAAACTATTCCACAGAGAGGTTGTACGTGGAAAAAAACTCCTTGTGAAACGTACAGTGGTGGACCGCCAAGCATCCAGATGGTGTGGATGGTATCGGGACGTTTGACGTGTAGTGCGTTCACGAAATTTGGCGGCTGGGATTAATCCGAACAATTCCTAAGAGCACTCCCCGTGATAGATGCGATAAAATACGCAAAGAGATGCAACATCTCTTCGCAGCGCCAGTGAATCGAGCCGATCGGAAAGCACTCGGTCGTCGACGATTCGAGCCGCTCTGCGCTGGATGCGGTCAAGTGGAAGGAGCTGGTACTGGGGAGCCCCAGCCCAGAGATGGGAACAGTATTCCATGTGCGGCCGAACCTGCGCCTTGTAAAGTTGCAGGCGGTGTGCCGGCATGAAATACTGTCCCGCTCTGCTGAGCACGCCAAGCTTTTTAGAGGCCAATTTGGCCTTCCCTTCCAAGTGACCACGAAACTGCACGTCACTCGATATGTCGACGCCGAGGATTCCGATACTGGCTGAGGCAACAAGGGGAGTGCCTTGAAACTGAGGGGATACGACAAAGGGGTTCTTTTTAGCGGTTAACGCGCAAACTTGTGTCTTCTGGGGGTTAAACTGGACTAGATTTAGTCGCCCCCAATCCGAGACTCTGTCCAGCAGAGACTCGACTTCAGACACAAGTTTGTCCCGGCACTCGGAGACGTTTTCCCGAGAAATATTGGCTCGGCCGGTGTAAAGAGCATCACCAGTGCTGTCATCTGCATAGCAATGAATGTTACGGGTACGCAACATGTCATTGGTATGCAGAAGAAACAGCGTTGGCGATAGCACATAGCCCTGTGGAACACCAGCATTAATAGGCTTGCAATCGGAGCTTGCACCGTCTACAATGACCTTGATGCTCCGATCTGCAAGAAAGCTGGTGATCCAATCGCACAATTTCTCGGGAAGCCTATAACAAGGGAGCTTCGAAAGAAGCGCTTTGTGCCAAACCCGATCGAAGGCCTTCGCAATGTCCAAACTAACGGCCAATGCCTCCCCCTTGAACTCTACTGCCTCCGCCCATCTGTGAGTTAGGTAGACCAGAAGGTCACCAGCTGACCGACCACGGCGAAAACCGTATTGGCGGTCACTTAATCAGCTGGTGATCTTCAAGGTACCTCATGAGCTGGCAGTTTACAATGGACTCCATTGTTTTGGAGAACAAGGAGGTGATGGCGATTGGCCGGTAGTTGGACGGGTCAGAGGTGTCGCCTTTTTTAGGGATCGGGTGGACGTAAGTCGTCTTTCATGATTTTGGGACTACGCCTAGGTAGTAGGAGTACCGGAAAAGACGCGTTAAAACCGGTGCCAACTCTGGAAGCACACGTCCTCAGCACAATTGGGGGAATTCCGTCAGGCCCACTCGACTTGTGGATGTCCAGGGAGAGGAAGTGCTTTGCGAACCGAGCGCTGTGTGAAGTGCACTTCCGGCATGGAGCACTCACACCGCGGGATGGTCGGCGGAGTACTTCCCCCGTCATCGAGAGTCGAGTTAGACGCAAAGAAAGATTTTCTATACTGATGCCTCTCAAGAACTTCTAAAAAAACTGGATCGACTTCTTAATAATTGTATACGTTTCATTTTTGGTTTACGTAAATACGACCACAACTCTTCTTATCGTTCTGAGCTTAAATGGCTACCTCTCCACTATCGCAGATATTTCAGAATACTTTGTACATTATTTTCAGTTTTACACGATCCGTTTGTCCCTGAATATCTGAAATACAAATTTCAGTATCAAGTGATTCTTATAATCGTTGTCTAAGTAAGTTCTGCGGAAAAGTCTAATCTCCGTGTCCCCCTCTGTCACACTAGCTTCTTATATAAATCTTTTACGTCTCTTACGGTAAGATTGTGGAACGAGCTACCGAGCAGTGTACGTGCAGCCACGAGCAAGGCATCGTTCAATCACTTGCTCTGGAATCATTTACTGGCGATGCAGGAGTAGTTTGTGGATTAACATTTTTTATATCCTTAAATTCTAACTGTTCCCTTTTCATGTTTTTATTTTAAATATTTTATAGGTGTTTGAATCAGAAACAGCTATATTTAATTATGTATGTACTATATATGCATATATACACACGCAGTATTAAGCTAATTTATGTATATATTTATATAACTTGTATGTATATCTATATAATAATATATATATGTAATTATGTTTATAAAATGTATCACAATATGTAATGTGTATCTTATATACTTATAACATTTTAACTCAGTTGCACTTTGCACCCACAATGTCTTCTCTGCTTAGCCTGGAGGTAGACTGGAAGAGAATGCCTTGTTGCATTAAGTCCACCTTTTTGTGCTTGGTGTGCAAATAAAGCATAAATATATAAATAAATACTCTCAACTTTGCTCCAGGCACTTTGAAATTTTAAAGGGAATTTATTTGTCCAAAGAAGGAAAGAACTGAATTGTTTCATAATGCTGTCCCAAAACTTTATACAATTAAGCTTTGTATGCACTGTGCATAAATATGGTCGAATTTCAAAACTTATAACTGTGTTTTTATATACCATAATTTAATTGAACTGTAAATGTTGTAATATGATGGATTATGATAGGATAAAAAAAATTAAAAGACATTATTTCTTTACACTGAATGTATAGAAGAAAATTGAAAAATTTAATATTTTTTCAGGAGGATGTTACAAACATTGAAGGACATAAGCGTGATGATTTAGTGATGGAACAACCAAATATGGTGCGTCTTTAATTTTCAGTGCCAAGTGAGTGACAAGAATTGATATAAAAATTATAGTTATCATGTAATGACATACTGTTATATTTTTTATTGAATGCTAAATAATATTGAGAATATGTGATATTTTTCCAGGAGGACGTTAAAATGACCGAAAATGTGCATCATGTAGATGAAGTAGTTATGGAACTACCAAGCACTTTTACGAGGGTAGGTCTTGAGTTTTTAAAAGGTTGTGTTGTGGCAGTTACGAAAACTAGTCAGTACCTGGCTCTCATACAAGTGAACTAATGTACTCAATAATTATAAATTCAATAATCATAGGATCAATCAATCAATAATTATAGGAACTGAATAGTAGCGTCTGGTATATTTATTCTTTACCCATAAATTTTGTATATGTAAAAGAATCTGAACTACTTATTGACTAATTAGCAAACATTAGCGCACTGCATTATTTATCACTGTTTTTGAGAGCCATTAGTTTTTTTGTTTACGTTTTGTATTTCGCTATGCTGAATATGGTATAGATGACATGTAACATTGTAAACACAATTGAAAATCTATTGCTTACGATCAATAACACCTGCTGATAGGTGAAATGGATTAAAAATTTTAATTTTCTCTTTCAGCCACTGGGTACGCCCAGAAGTCTTACCAAGAGATTGAAACAGCAGCAAAATCCGTCGGAGAAGAGGTTGATAATTATGTACGCTCTTCGTCAGAAAACAAGACATCTTAAAATAAAAGTGGCAAACCTGGAACAAAGTCTTGAAGAGTTGAAGGCAATAGCTATAAGTGTAACTATTATGATTTTCTTAATAAAATATTATTTTTTAATATTTGATATTAATGTTACTTATTTGTTTCATTTGATTTAATTACCTTATTCTAATAACATGTGAATAAAGTGGTCTCGAATTACTGACGTACGCTTCACAAACAAAACCTCCCTATTTTTGGGTAACATTGCCAAAATGTCAGTACTGTGATGCGAGAATGAAAGGTGATATAGCAGTTACGCGACCCCGCTGTCTATTGGATTCTCTGTCTACGACTTTGTGTCCCAAAAATTACCACAGAGCGTAGACAGAGCATTCTCTGCCTACGTCACAGAGTATTAAATCAAGTAAATTGGCATTTATGTAATGAGTGATGGTTATATGTGGGCCTCCAAGCGAAAAGGGTCCAGTTGTCGGCATTTAGTTTCCGAGATAATTAAGAGTTTTGAAAAGTTTGATGAAAAAATAGCATTTCGCGAATTTAATTGATTATCAATAAATGATCAATTATCTACAATTTAATATATTAATGACTATAATACGATGTTTCTAAGTACCAGAAACTTTAAGAGAAAAGTTTTGTGAAAGGGACCAGTGGTTGGCATGTCAATATTTTTGAACAAAATACATTTCAATACCTCGTACTGATCTCTATATTTAAATAATTTATTTAACAATTTTTTAAGATTATAAAGTTGAAGATACTTGTAAACACTCCTAAAAAGCGGGGAATTCCCTGTAACTACTGAGGAGATTTACTTGCTGAAAAGTATCTATTTTGGCGCCGATGGAGATGTCCCAGCGGGTATTTTCCTGCAGGTATTCTTCTTCATATCCTATAAATAGATCTTTACGTGACGCAATGATTTATTTGTCATTTGACACCGGAGAAGGAAAAATATCCGATAATCTGTTTGTTTGTAAATATAGACGTGTTTATTATTATTATAGCGGTTTTTCACGTTGTAGTAACTTGAGTGAGTTAAAAGTGCACATAAAAATAAATAAAGGTAAGAATTTATGTTATTTTATATACCACTATATTGTAATAATACTAATGAGTTCTTGCGAGTACAGCAATCCCTACTTTTCATAATTTCGGGTCTTAACACCAAGTATCTAGTCTAATCTAATATTATAAAGAAGAAGGGTTTAATTGTTTGTTTGTACTGGATAAACTAAAAAACGTTAAACCGATTTTAATGAAATTTGACGAGACTTGAACCCTTAGAAGTAACATACGCTATTGTAAAAAATGGTTTTGGCTCTTCTTGTAATTCCTATTTTTATAATATTTTCATACTATTTTTAAGCGGAGCAGCTATAATCGTAATAATTCTGCTGCATTCACTAACACTGAAAGCTGACCGCTACGAAGTTGAAAACAGGCTAAGCGAATGAATTGTAATTAGTCATAATTACTTATCCTAACTTTGGTTTTAGGTAACATTACCATTGAAGAGTCAATAAAAGGTTCCAGCTCTAGTGATGAAAGTAAGCATTCTGATGGGATTGTACTACTTTCTATGGGGGTAGAAGTAAACACACTTTCTGTTTTGGCATCGACCGCAACAACGCCGGGTATACCATCAGGAGAAGAGACTGTTGAACCTCCGGGTACTTATAAGTTTGCAATTAATTTCCCGGAGTCGACATCAGTCACGGATGAAACGGATCAAAATTATGAAAAGAGCACTAATACCGAAGCAATAAGTGAACATGGAATACATGAGTGTTACGATTTTGCTAGGATAGTTAGTCGAGTCTTGTGTAAAATCCAAAAAAAAAAAGATTGACGTGATCATTGTATGAATGCAATAGTTCATATTCTTTATGACTACAGCAAGGACTCTAATACCAATTAAGGAGTTGTGTTAGATATGTCATAGAGATAATATGAAGAAAACCTTGTGTAGATTTCTATATTTTTTAACGTTTTGTTTTCAGAGTTTAATTAAGGTAACGGAACCCGTAATGGACAGTGCACCCATGATGGACATTTCATTCGTTATCTACCAAAAATAGCCAAACTATAAACATTTCTTATAACTGGCAACATTCTCCACGCGTGACACACCCTACCGAAGCCATGTTTTTCGTTCGACAGTACGTGAGACATTTTGTTCGTTCACAGGAAGAGTGCAAAAACGTGGTCGTGACGTTTAATTGAATAAATCCTTAATTATTGTAAGCATCGTGATTCTGGTGAGTTCAACAATTACGTTTTTCTGAAATAGTTATGCATATTTTATTAAATGTCTGTTTATTTTGTGTTTTATAGGTAGTTCAAGAATTATAATATAAACTTGCACATTTTAAAATGGAACAATTAATGGACAATTAAAGGCTATGTTTAACACTGGATACACTAACATGTTACTACCCAGTCATGTACATTTTGTTCATTACTGGATTTTTTAACATATTCGCCAATTTTGTATTCTGTGAACTCGGACATTAATATGTAACGTTTTATTCATGAAATATTTAAAAAATTATTACGTAATCCAGTAATGTACAATCATGTCCATTACTGCCTGTCCATAACTGGGACTCAGTAAAATGTGGGCGATTTTGTTACTTTGAGAAGTAATTAAATGAATCTTTTTATGTGTCATTACTAAGTAGATATCGTTATCACGGTGCTTAAGGTCAAACGGTTTCAAGTAAATACGACACAAAATATTATGAATATTTTTTTATTTTTTTATTATATTTTTTTACGTTTATTAGGGGTCTCCGTCATCTAGATATTTGTGATTGGGCTGTCGCATGGTGGTATTGATTATCAGAGGTCTTGTAAAGTAAAAAAAAAATACCAACTAAACTTTGTGTTGTACAACTCGGTAACCAGTTTTTAAATCTAAGCACCTTGACAACGATCTTTAGTCATTACTCTTTCTGGCTTCAGATATGGCACCAAGGAAAAATTACACTCAAGAACAAATGGCAAAAGCCATCGAAGAAGTCAGGCAAGGGCAAAAAATTTCTGCTGCTGCGGTAAAGTATGGCGTCCCGAGAATAACATTATATAATAAAATCAATGGAATAAGTCCAGTAGAGTGCAATATGGGCCCAGATACTATTCTCACAAAGGAAATCGAAATGATATTGGTTAAGTGGATTTTATACATGGCCGATAATCATTTTCCTATTACAAAGGATCAGCTGCTTGATAGCGTTCAAAAAATCATTATTGAGAAAGATCAGGGTCTTTCGTGTCCTTTTACCAACAAACGGCCAGGAAAAAAATGGTACAAATCTTTCCTAAAACGACACCCGGAAATTGCACAACGCACAGCTCAAAATTTAACAAAAGCAAGAGGAGACGTCACAGAAGACGACCTCAAGGAGTGGTTTAAAACTAACACCGATTATTTAAAAAATCGAGGATTATACGATACAATAATGACTGATCCTAGACGTATTTTTAATACAGATGAGAGTGCCTTTTTCCTACAACCAAAACCTGGACGAGTACTAGTTCGAAAAGGGGAAAAAAATGTTTATAACAGCTCCGGCGACGAAAAAGAAAATTTAACTGTATTGATAACCGCAAATGCCGCGGGTGATTTAGCTCCGCCGATGATAGTATTCCCGTACGAGAGAATACCAACGGTAATTGCTAATAGCGTCCCAACAGGATGGGCAATCGGAAAGTCCGACACTGGTTGGATGTGCGCTAGAACCTTCTATGAATATGTTTGTAATGTTTTTAACCCGTGGTTGGATAAAAACTACATACCTAAACCAATAGTATTTTTTCTCGATGGGCATAGATCACATATGACCCTGCACCTATCTGATTTCTGTAAGGAAAACGGAATAGAAATTATAGCACTCTACCCCAATTCGACGCATTTGTTGCAACCAATGGATGTGGCTATCTTTAGGCCTCTAAAATTATTCTGGAAAAACCAAGTTCGCATATGGAAAACTGAGAATCCGGGAAAACGCCTAAAGAAAGAAAATTTTGCTCAAAATTTGGAATCTGTTTTGGTAAAACTGTCCACAGACACGATAAAAAACGGCTTTCGCAAAAGCGGACTGTATCCGTTTGGACCGGAATATGTGGATTTGTCTAAAATAAGTGCGCAGAATCGTACTGAACAGGATGAATCTAGTGTGATTAAAAATACACAGTTTATGAAGACACTGGAATCAGAAATAAAAAGTATATTCTCACATAAAAAACTGACATTGTTTAATAAACTGTATTATAAGCAGAGAGCTGATGTTGAGAATTTCCTACCGAATGAGGATCAATCATTATATATTATCTGGGCTAAGACTAAAAATTTATTGGGAGGCAATGAACAACAAAACATACTTGAACCAAACACACAAACGCAAGCCACTCAAGATCAGACAACACAGGGACAGACCAGGCTAGAACAGTACATTCAAAGAGAGAATACACAAGTACCGACCATACAAAGACTGAGCACACAAGGACAGATGACGCCAGAACAGAATACACATGAATTGAATGCACAAAGAGAGCATAAAGAGGAACAGAGTGCGGAAGTACAGGTCACAACAGAACAGAATATACAAGGACTAAATGAAAATGGACAGAATATACAAGTGAACACAGAAACTCAGAATGCAAGAGAACAGATCATGCCAGAACAAAATACACAAGCACCGAGTTTTAATGTACAAGGAAAGAACATAGAAGCACAGAATGCGCAAGAACAGATCACAATAGAACAGAATACGCAAACACAGAATGAACAAGGACAGAAAAAAGAAATAATCGATCAAGGACAAGGAAACAATGAGCAATCTTTTTCAACGGTATATGCTACACCACATAAATCTGTTATAACGTTTTCGCCAGTGTCATATCCTTCAACCTCTGCAACATTTCCAAAAGACGTGGTAATCCCGTCACCTTTTAAACGTGTCTTATTTTGGCCTGAACCTGAAACTAAGAAGCGACGTACCAAGGAACGTGTACCGTCAGCTATAACTAGTGAAACATGGAGAGATTACATGAAAAAAAAGAAAACGAAAAGAAAAAAAGGAAGAAGAAAAAGAAAAACGAATAAAACAAAGACAAGACAAAAAAATGTTAAAGGAAAAGATGCTTCTAGAAAAGAAACAAAAACGAAAGAAAAATATAAGACGGCAAGATTCGTTTTCAGACAATGGTGATATGGAAGTTAAATATGCTGCAAGCAGTGACTCAGAGTATGCTGAAAGTGGGAAATCAGACTCTGAAAATGAACCTTTAAGTAAAATAGTTTCTAACAAGAAAACTTTGTGTACGAAGAAAATTAAAGATGTTACCAATGGCTCCTACGTCATTGTAAAATATGAGGGAGAATATTTTCCGGGTAGTATAGAAAAAACAGAAGGAGATTTATACGAAATAAGTACAATGGTATTATGTGCAGGACACTCTTTCAGATGGCCAGATAAGCCCGATAAGATATGGTATAAGGCAGAAGATGTTATAGAGAAAATTAATGACCCTTTGCTTCTGAATAAGCGTGGGTTCTATAAAATCAAAGAAATGGAAAAATATTTACCGGATATTTACAGCATTTAAGATAATATTTGATGGTTGATGTCTAACCTACTATTTTTATAAATTACGTTTAAAATTTTACCAGTATTGTGTGTTTAATACAAATAATTAGAAGTATAATAATAATAATGTTTTAAAGTAATAAATTATCATTATCATTATTATCATTATCATTAATTAGAAGTATGCTGGTTTACATTAAATATTAGGTATTTGCTAAGATTAATAAGTTATTTGTTATGTTTTGATGCCAAATATTTAGTTTAACCGTTTTACAATAGATTAGGTACACAGACTGTTTTATTTTACTTGCTTTTATATTTCAAATACAGAAAATAATAGTTTTGAGCTTAATAAAAAGTATGAGACTGATTAATATAAATTACTTGTTTTATTTCTTCCTTGCATAAATGTCCAGTGTCCATCATTAGATGTTCATGACTGGAGGTTTTTCCAACATTGAATGTCCAAAACTGGAATTGACCCTGTCCATTACTGGAGTTTTTAAATGGTTTTGTATTTTTAAGTGTATTTCCAAAAGTTGTAAGGGTAGTGTAGTTTTCAATAAATGAACTTATTACTAATAAGGTCATTAATTGCTTGCAACTTCAATTGCATTCATATGAACATTTATCTACAAAAGATAGTAGAAAACATAAAAATTTGGTCTTAAACTGTCCATTATCGGTTCCGTTACCTTATTTAGCGTCTGTAGAACATGAAGACTATGAAAGTTTTAATTCAGAGTTCAAAAGTCAACAGGACACAGAATTATCGTGTGACATCGAGTTTACTACTTGTTAGTCTTTCAAAGAGCGGCAACTTGATGATATTTCACTAGAAGATGATCCTTTATCCCTAAACGATTTAACTCAAGCCTCATTCTTAGGTACTGGTTGTGGATGTAATAATAATTGTGTGTCCAAATTTGAAAAGAACGTGATAGTAAGTAGTAGATTAGACTGTATCGAATTAAATTCACATTGTAATGAGGAAGTCAATCACCATCACTTGGTCTTGAAAGGGCTTTAAATGTTCTCTTACGTACAAGTGAAAATACATTAACATGAAAGAAAAGAAACTTGCAACGAAAAGAGTACACGATAAAGTATTTCTTTAGAGGTGTTTCAGTATGCAAGATTTTTTTCCAATATGTATTTGCCATTGGTTTGAAAAGGTTAAAAAATGTAAAAAAAAAGGAATTTCTTATAAGAAAGGACAGCGGTGTTGCTCCAAAGGTTCACAGGTCACGTAAACGAACTCACAATTGTATTAATAAGACGCAGATACTTTTATAAGACAGTTTTCTAACGAAAACCGTCTAGTATTGCCGGGCCGATTACCTGGCCACCAATTTAAATCTGATTTAATAATTTTACCTTGTAGTATGTCTAAAACATATGTGTACAACAAATATTTGGAAACTGTAGCTTCACTCAATAAAACTTCTATTGGTATAAGTAGTTGGTACGATCTCTGGTAAGATTTTTATTCATATGTCGTTAAACAGAAGCCGAAAACAGATATTTGCGCAACTTGAAAGAAAAACGTGACAAAATTGAGCCGAATGGGTGGTTTAAATGAAAGTGAAAAGTTAAAGCTTGTAGAAAATTCGAAGACATGTATTTCGGTCTATTCAAAAAAGTTTCAGAAAATGGGACTGTCATAACTTAAAGGATGTTATTGCCGCTGCTGTTCAAGCTTGTCCCAAAACAAAATCTACAATAGCTGTTCTTACTGGTGATGAGAATGGAGAAACTTTTGTGAAAACTTACGACTGAGCAATTTTTTTTCAACCCGATTCTGTAACCCTTAACCAATTTCTGCATTTCTGTCATTTTGAAACAAATGAAGATAACAGAGGGCACATGATGTGTCGCAAAAAAAATACTGATAGTGAACCAAATGTAGCAAAGGTTTTAAACTAACCCTAATAAGGTATACGGTTTTCCTTCGGAAAAAATTCCTACAGGCATGACGTACTAAAGAAAATCGTATCTTTATAATAAGATACGTGAGTTTGTAAGTGAAGAATCTGAAGACTTTTATGCCCGAAACCCATTGCAAATGTTGACGAACCAAGCTCCTCTAGCAATTCCAACATTCCAACATTGCCAACAACATCTGTGGAGTCTCTTTTCAGAAACAAACAACTGAAAAGAGTACTCGAAAATACCAACATGTTTGTACTGCAAACAGATTGGTCATAGGGATCAGGTACGAGGAGGAATTTATTTTTGTAGAAAACGTAAGTATGATTTCCAAATAGAATAATTTTTGTGTATATTTTGGCTAGTGATTAGTTATGTTATTTTATAAGAGGTACCGGTGTAGCCTGTTCTAATAATAATAAAAAACTGTCTTGTTAGTTCCTAAATAGAGAAGGGAATATTGAATTTTAGTTCTTTATTGCTAATTAGTGTCGTATCGTAACGTACATCTGTACGTTGCTATCCGTTCGGGCCCACTGAAAACTAGCGTTGTTGTGCCGGCGACAGCATAAGCTGAGTGAGGTCCGTTTGTATGACGCCCCACAACATACTCGTACAATATGAGAAACGATTTTTTTGTCTTTCTATTTTGTTTTTAATTGTAATCTGTAAGTATACATACTTTTAAATTATTTTATCCGTCAAATTGTTGTTTTGTTTCCTATTTTTGTTCTGTTTGTTATAATGTTTATAATTGATGTGTCCACAAAAATGTTAAAACTTAAATGCCTACTGATGTTTGTGGCGTGCTGCAATAAATCTTTTTTTCTTTCTTTCGTATTTACTCTCTTTTTACTAAACACCGACAGCTAGACCTTTTTACTAAACTATGTTTCGATCTTTTATTTGGAGAGTATTTGTTCCAATAATAATTTAAATAAACCTGTCTTGTTATTTTGTTAGTTCCTAAATAAAGGAGGAATATCTAATTTTAGCTTTTTATTGCTAACTGCTGTCGTATTTACTCAGTTTTTACTAAACACCGACAACTGGACCTTTTTACTTAACTATGTATCAGTCTTTAATTTCGATCGTAATTGTTTATTTTTAGATGTTACAAGTATAATTATAGGTTAATTTTGTGAAGAGTACCTTAATCTATAATAATAAATAAAAATCTATGTAACAAGTAAGTAGAATTGTATTTTTTTTTCATTTATACTGTAAAAATTCTTTTTCTCAAAACAAGCTTTTTCAGAATTTCAACTTCAAAATGTCTGGTAAAAAAATATGTGCCAATTTTTGAATAGTTTTTCAATCCGTACTATCAATTGACTATTCCAGATACCGAATGTAGTCTTAACTCAATACTTGACTACTGGACCCTTTGCAGCATGAGCAGACGCTGTTTGAGATTTTGTTCTTAAATCATTGTAGCTTTCCCAATTAACTGCCAATCTTCGGCAATAAGCGAAATAATGACACGTAATATAAGCTGCTACTTCAGATAATTAATAAAAATTGATAAATGTGTAATGAATCAACTATACCAATATAATACAATACAAATGTTGTAAAGAGCAATAAACATACCGATATCGTAGATTAGTTTCGGATCGATCATCATTTTGAAGTTTTAAGTTCAAATGTTGGAAGTTCTTAACCCTACGTTGACTACGTCTGTATAATTATGTAGCTAAATAAAATTTGTTAATTAAACCAAAAATTAACATATGTTTGACAAAACAAACGTATTTTATCAAAGAACAAATAATAATGAATATAAAAAGACCAGTAATAACGAAAGAAATTATAATTTTGAGTAGGGGGGGGGGGGGCAGTAGCGTAGCGTACTTTAGACGGGCCATGTATCAAAATTTGTTGAGGGCCCCAAATGAAAGGTCCAAAACCGCTCGCATGTATTAAAATAATTATATATTGATTATAAGTTAATAATGACAATTAATAGAGGAAACGCGAACTTATACACTTTTCTTGTCTTTGTTCTTGAACTTAATAGGTCGGGGAAAAAGTTTCTTCGTAGAAACAATTTTTATTACATTTTATTATAACATAATATATATTTGCCATTTTGTTTGATAGCTTGTTGCCTTCTTATAGGTAGATGACATAATCCCGTTGCTGTAGAAATTTTGAGATTTTAGATCAAAAAATGCGATTAGTAGGTAGTTTGACAATCCTCTCTTGATGTTAACTTAACACTACCCAATGAATTCTGACGAGATCGAAACAGGGAGGGTGCAAGATCAAGCTCTCTCAAGGTTTGCTGAGTGGCTAAAGATCTGTGTGTTCTGGCGTTATCATGATGGAAGACCACTCTTTTTCTGTTGGTCGATTCCAGCCCTTTTTCTCAATTTTTTGTTTGAGTCTTACTAGTTGTCAGCAGTAGAGATCCGAATCGATGTTTTTGCCCAGGTGTAAAAGCTCATAATGAACGATGCTCTTCTAATCCCACCTTAAACACAGCATCACCTTATTGCGTGTTAATCCGGGTTTCGCTACACTCTGTGGACTTCACTACCCTTTGACCATGATCTTTTTCGCACGATCTTGTTGCAAAAATGGTTCCGTTTTATTACGTTTCAATAGAGAATCGCAAATGAGCACATAATTCATTATCTAATTGCTCAGTCTAGTCAAAATATTACTTAGTAAACTGTTAACTTTCTTTGTCATTATTTTCAAGCTGTATAGCTTTAGAAACAAGATTAGTGATTTCTAATGGTAAATAAAAAAGGTGACACAAGCATTATAAAATTGTAGCTCTTTAATATGCATTTCCAAGTATCCACACTAAGGTAGATTTTATAGGTTGGATAAACGGAATAACCCAATTTTTTTTAATTATCGAAAAAAATAAACATTTCAGATTCACATTTCGTAGCATCGTTTAAAATTAAATTTATTGCGTGTGCCGCACGAAGAACATAATCGGCATTACGGGCATGCTCTTTTATAAGGATTTGTAATCCTCTATATACAACCGAAATGACATTTGCTGCATCGTAACCCTGACTTCTAAATTTGGACAAATCAATTCCATATCCTTTCATGGTATTTAAAGTTACA